TAAATAATTAAATGGAACTTGGAGCGACAAAGAACGTTATATTTACGACAGGAGTCCGCTTTTACGTACCGTGATCATGTGCATATACCATAACACCACATCCTGTCAAGGGTATAGCGAGTCTATCGTATGGACCACTGTGCTCAGCTGCACCGTGCAATACCAGACACAGTGCCCTGGATTCCAATGGGAAACTTTTTAATGTACGAGAACGCTACATGGAATCCCTGCATATCATGTAATATTACTAGTGCATATACAAATAAAAGTTGGCTATATAATTTAAAATGCAACAATTGGCAGTATCTCTGCTATACCCGCACTACTATAGGTAACTGCTATAGTCGGTATAATAGGTGTTCATTTTGTTTCACACAGTCTAACTACATTGAGTATATGTTTGTTTTCGGACATGAATGTGGAGGACGAAGCCTCGTTCACACGTGTTGAGAAACGGAGGGATAGGTCGCTTTATAAATATTCCTAAACAGCGGGCAAAACATGCTTGTACTACATACGTCGCAGTATATTCGACCTTCATATCTTTCTTTTCACGCACTATTCACCTACCGTTTGATCGCCACAAGAGTACGTTGTTTTAACCTTGTGAAATTATTTACGTCGCCCATCTCAGGTTTAAACAGCGGGTTACCTGTAACTCTGGGTTGAGAACAACCCTGAGACCGGGTTAACACTTGTCTTCCAACAGTGGGGTTTACGGTGGGTCAAACCGCCGCATTTTGCTACACTTGTGAACACAGTATGAAATACGTACTTTTCAAAATCCTCTAGATTTTAGAAGAATGCAAACTAATTTGTCTATAATTAGTGTATCTTTATACTCGCCTGATTTCTATGTCCGTGGGAGGAGCCCAGCACCGAGTGAAAATACACTGTCCGTCAGCGTTCACGTAATGTGCAAGCTGTTCATATGGCACACCCTGTGGACTGGTAGCCATTTTCAAGTTCAGCTACAGTTCGACCTCGGGCACAAGTTTTATATTCTCTCACAAATCCAGAATAATCGTAGAACGTTTCAAAGTCGATATCACGACACATAAAACTGACGTGATTTTCAAAAGAACTTGTCTAGTAAATCTTAGTTACAGTGAATGAAAACGCATACGTACGGTCACCACAGTCAGAGTACGTCAATCAATCACATTTGTCCATTGCAATGTTCCAAGGGCGCGTTGTAGTATTATTGTTAGACAGTATACATATGTAAATTATTCTACAGCCGACTAAGAGAAGGTCGTATCCAGCATTTTTCAATGTGGAATTACAATACTACGCTGACATTTTGAGACCGGATAACTTGATAAGAAAATGACATGAATCAGTATGTGTCAGTCTAGTTCAGTAGCCCACCTGTACGGGCATAATATATGATTTCACAATAATAAGATAAGATAACTTTATTGACATTATTCTTTCTATAGAAGATGAACATAGTCAAGTGAAATAAAAAAAAAAGTAAAAAGGATAATATTTAGGGCAAGGATACGTATAAATTTTCGCAAAACTCCAGACGTTAAAATATTCCAGTTATGTGTTCAACGCATTGCTGAATATGTTAACATGACCATGTTTTCGTTGACTCATCAAAAAACAAAAACACACTGAACGTGTTAATTTCTACCTCTGACAACTGGTCTCAGATTTCTCTATGGATTGTATAAATTAAACACAATTAAGTCAATAAAAAGATATTTATTATCAAGAAAATATCAACCCTTGTATGATAATGATGAATTTCCCTTGGGAAAACAATTCTAATTTATCTGATCACCGCTGTGATTGTCAAGCCTAAAATGTGCATTAAAACATTCTCATATTTTCCAATTGCTCGCAGGTTCAATTCAATTTCAAATTCAATAAAGACCACATAAAGTTATGTACCGGAATAAATGAAAGCTGACAATGACAACGACGGTTGGTGGTCGTCGCACGGCGTCCTGTTCGACATGGGACTAATAGCGACGTATACAACGCGTGTAAAGAGACATAGTTTGTTTGCACGAAATTTGAACACGCGCTGTGTGACGACCACCGTCCTTTAAAGGGCGTTCAGTTCTGGGTTTCATGTGCTGCGTTTACACCTGTACACATTCTGCAACATGCTAATTTACAAAAGGTTGCGCCCCTAGCGGCGAAGCGCTAATATGACAGCAAAATTACAAAGATGTCAATGCCATTATCAAAGGCAACTTTGGTTGTTTAGTTAATTGTGAATTACAGTATAGCAACATTTGTTATTGAAATGTGACCACAGATGAAACAATATTGACAATATAAAAAGCATCGCATAAGTCACAGAAGCGCTTCACATTAGAGGATCAATGCACTATGGGCG